TCCCTGACTGTTATATCCTACACTGTTATTTGTTATATCATGCAGGTGACTATGTTGATAGATTCCCTGACTGTTATTTGTTATACCCTACGGGTGGCTATGTTGATAGATGTCCTGACTGTTATTTGTTATACCCTACAGGTGACTATGTTAATAGATTCCCTGACTGTTATTTGTTATACCATACAGGTGGCAATGTTTATAGATTCCCTTATTGTTATACCCTACAGGTGGCTATGTTTATAGATTCACTGACTGGTCTTTGTTATACCCTACAGGTGGCTATGTTGATAGATTCCTTGACTCTTATTTGCTATACCCTACAGATGGCAATGTTTATAGATTCCTTTGACTGTTTTTTGTTATCCCTACAGGTGGCTATGTTTATAGATTCCCTGACTGTAATTTGTTATACCCTACAGGTGGCTATGTTTATAGATTCCCCGACTGTTCTTTGTTATACCCTACAGGTGGCTATGTTTATAGGTGGCTATTTTATAGACTGTTATTTGTTATACCCTACAGGTGGCTATGTTTATAGATTCCCTGACTGTTATTTGTTATACCCTACAGGTGGCTATGTTGATAGATTCCCTGACTGTTATTTGTTATACCCTACAGGTGGCTATGTTGATAGATTCCCTGACTGTTATTTGTTATACCCTACAGGTGGCTATGTTGATAGATTCCCTGACTGTTATTTGTTATACCCTACAGGTGGCTATGTTTATAGATTCCCTAACTGTTATTTGTTATACCCTACAGGTGGCTATGTTGATAGATTCCCTGACTGTTATTTGTTATACCCTACAAGTGGCTATGTTTATAGATTCCCTGACTGTTATTTGTTATACCCTACAGGTGGCTATGTTGATAGGTGTCCTGACTGTTATTTGTTATACCCTACAGGTGACTATGTTGATTGATTCCCTGACTGTTATTTGTTGTAATCTACAGGTGGCTATGTTGATAGGTGTACTTACTGTTATTTGTTATACCCTACAGGTGGCTATGTTGATAGATTCCCTGACTGTTATTTGTTATACCCTACAGGTGGCTATGTTGATAGATTCCCTGACTGTTATTTGTTATACCCTACAGGTGACTATGTTAATAGATTCCATGACTGTTATACCCTACAGGTGGATATGTTTATAGATTCCATGACTTTTTTTATACCCTACAGCTGACCACGTTTACAGATTCCCTGATTGTTATTTGTTATATCACAAAGGTGGCTATGTTTATAGGTGTCCTGACTGTTATTTGTTATATCCTACATGTGGCTATGTTTATAGATTCCCTTATTGTTATACTCTACAGATGGCTATGTTGATAGATGTTCTGACTGTTATATGTTATACCCTACAGGTGCCTATGTTTATAGATTCCCTGAATGTTATTTGTTATACCCTACAGGTGGCTATGTTTATAGATTCTCTTACTGTTATTTGTTATATCCCACACGTGGCTATGTTGATAGATTCCCTGACTGTTATTTGTTATACCCTACAGGTGGCTATGTTTATAGATTCCATGACTGTTATTTGTTATACCCTTCAGATGGCTATGTTGATAGATTCCCTGACTGTTATTTAGTATACCCTACAGGTGGCTATGTTGATAGATTCCCTGACTGTTATTTAGTATACCCTACAGGTGGCTATGTTTATAGATTCCTTGACTATTATTTGTTATACCCTACAGGTGACTATGTTGATAGATTCCCTGACTGTTATACCCTACAGGTGGCTATGTTTATAAATTCCCTTACTGTTATTTGTTATACCCTTCAGATGGCTATGTTGATAGATTCCCTGACTGTTATTTAGTATACCCTACAGATGGCTATGTTGATAGATTCCCTGACTGTTATTTAGTATACCCTACAGGTGGCTATGTTTATAGATTCCCTGACTGTTATTTAGTATACCCTACTGGTGGCTATGGTTCTGGATTCCCTGACTGTTATTTGTTATTCCCTATAGGTGGCTATGTTTATAGATTCCCTAACTGTTATATCCTACAGGTGGCCATGCTTATAGATTCCCTAACTGTTAGTTGTCATATTCTACATGTGGCTATGTTAATAGATTCTCTGACTGTTATTTTTTATACACTACAGGTGGCTATGTTTATAGATGTTCTGACTGTTATTTGTTATACCCTACAGATGGCTATGCTTATAGATTCCCTCACTGTCATTTGTTATACCCTACAGGTGACCACGTTTATAGATTCCATAACTGTTATTTGTTATATCATACAGGTGGCTATGTCAATAGATTCGCTGACTGTTAGTTGTTACACCCTACCGGTGGCTATGTTTATAGATGTTTTGACTGTTATTTGTTATATCATGCAGGTGACTATGTTGATAGATTCCCTGACTGTTATTTGTTATACCTTACAGGTGACTATGTTAATAGATTCCCTGACTGTTATTTGTTATACCCTACAGGTGACTATGTTGATTGATTCCTTGACCGTTATTTGTTATATCATGAAGGTGGCTATGTTGACAGGTGTACTGACTGTTATTTGTTATACCCTACGGGTGACTATGTTGATAGATTTCCTTACTGTTATATCCTACAGGTGGCTACGTTGATAGATTCCCTGACTGTTATTTGTTATACCCTAAAAGTGGCCATGTTAATCGATTCCCAGACTGTTATTTGTTATACCCTACAGGTGACTATGTTTATAGATTCCATGACTGTTATACCGTACAGGTGGCTATGTTGATAGATTCCATGACTGTTATACCCTACAGGTGGCTATGTTGATAGATGTTCTGACCGTTATTTGTTATACCCTACAGGTGGCTATGTTTATAGATTCTCTAACTGTTATTTGTTATACCCTACAAGTGGCCATGTTTATAGATTCTCTGACTGTTATTTGTGATACACTACAGGTGGCCATGTTTATAGATTCCCTGACTGTTATTTGTTATACCCTACGGGTGACTATGTTTATAGGTGTCCTGACTGTTATTTGTTATATCCTACATGTGGCTATGTTTATAGATTCCCTGACTGTTATTTGTTATATCATACAGGTGACTATGTTTATAGATTTCATGACTGTTACTTGCTATACCGTACAGGTGGCTATGTTTATAGATTCCCTTATTGTTATACCCTACAGGTGGCTATGTTTATAGATTCCCTGACTGTTATTTGTTATACCCTACAGGGGGCTAAGTTCATAGATTCCCTTACTGCTATACCCTTCAGGGGGCTATGTTTATAGATTCCCTGACTGTTATTTGTTATACCCTACAGGTGGCTGTTTATAGATTCCCTGACCGTTATTTGTTATACCCTACAGGTGGCTATGTTGATAGATTCCCTGTTGTTTTTCATACCCTACAGGTGGCCGGGTTTATAGATTCCCTGACTGTTATTTGTTATACCCTACAGGTGCCTATGTTGATAGATTCCCTGACTGTTATTTGTTATACCCTTCAGGTGGCTTTTGTAGTGTAGGAGAGCGATGACGCTACTTATACAAACAAGGGAGACAATCACGTACAATATGTATAATTTATTTACACCTACACATTACACATTTATATACATAATGTATCATTCTTCACATCCACTAACACACACACATCTAAATGATGACTTCCACACAGATGAATATTTACAATGCAAATATCAATGTCACTATGAAAACCACGGCCGTCCGAAGAATCAATGTGGTGCGGTCAAGTCCTTAAGTCCTCCTAGTCGTGGAGTATGTCTTCCCGTTACTGAGCTCATATAGTATACATGTATCATGAAAAGCACCTCACTATGACGTATCTCCGCACAATGACGTCACGGAAACCTGGTTGTACCCGCGGTCCATATTACCAGCGATGGCAAAGACAACACAAGTCGTTCTGCTCCATGACAAGTTATGATGACCACTGAAGCCGCAGCTCTTGGGTCCCTAAATCTCCGACTCCTACTTGCTTCCGTGCACTTAGGGTAGGAAGTCTGGCGAGATAAATCCGTGGAGCCAGTATGGTCTCACAAAACCACTGCTGACTGTCTTATCCACATCATATGGCCGTTCGTGGACGAGTCAAAGGCCCATCGTTGAAACCAGACATCTGTAAAATACAGATGTCATAAAGACATAGAAATACCTAATGTTTTAAACACCTTCCAAACAACAATCACAAAATGACACACCAAACACAACTATCATTCTCTATGATAACAGACATGTATGTAATACATGTACTATTAACCGCATATGTGTAAGTATATGACATTATAACATGGTTATATAAGCGTAACAAAAGTCAAGTATGTATGCCAAAAGAAAATTAGTGTAGTTTACATGAAAGAGAACGTAATACTTTGGTTGTAATGACTTAACACTGATCAACTTCATTCTATACATATACAAGTTAAACTGACCAGTATTTCTTATACATGATAGCAAAATTAACCTTGTTATCGACTTAGGAGAAAGCTATTTACCATTCAAAAGTACAAACAAACTATGGCAATCGCATATATGAGAAGGTAGAAATAGTATTGTTCTTACGAAATAAAAAAACGTAAACATGTCACGCATGATTAGCGCGCACCTGTACCCTACTAGCCTAAACAATGCACGCACACTCTATACGATGTAATAATACTAAAACCCAGAAAAATAAGGAAAAATACAGGTATAGATTCAAAGATAAGAAAACTCAAGAAAGAGTCAATACTTACCCCGTTTCTTGGGTAGTTTCTGCGTAAACAATGTCTGGATTTCGGCCAGTAAAGATTGACACGTCTTATCGTAGTGACTGTCCGATTTCTCACCTGCGCGTGCCTAACGTCCCGGGTATTGGATACGGCCAATAAAATATCCGGAAAACATATTAAATACTTACGGACGAAATATGAATCGTGACAAAATCCCCCTTTTCCAAGAAAGTGTTTTACACTTTTCAAATCAGACGAGACATATTTCGGGCAAATAGAAAAGTATTCTCCTGGCTTTTCCTAGACTCGACTGCAATAGTCGGCACCAATGTTGTCCTTTCCTTTGATTGCAGAAATTCTGAAGCGATATGGCTGAAGAAGTAATGCCCACCTCATCAAACGTCCATTTGCGATCTTAGCACGTTGGAGATAAACAAGGGGCTGGTGATCAGTCTCGAGTACAAACTCCTTCCCGTACAAATACTGTTCAAACTTCTGTACAGCCCACACGATGGCGAGACATTCCTTCTCAACTACCGCGTAAGCTCGTTCGCGTGCTAGCAACTTCCTGCTTGCATAGGCAATCGGCATTTTCTGGTCTTCTTCCATCTGCAAAAGAATAGCGCCTAACCCCGAATCGGACGCATCTGTCCTTAGTATGAACTGCTTGTGCAGATCTGGCAGCTTCAAAATGGGTTTCGAAGTCAAAGCCTTCTTTAGAGTCAAGAATGCCTTCTCCTGCGGATCTCCCCACTCTAACTTGTTGGGTAGTCCTTTCTTCGTCAACTCTGTCAGTGGGACGGCAATAGCAGCAAAGTTTGCGATAAACTTCCGGTAAAAGCCAACTAATCCCAAGAATGATCTCAGCTGCGTCTTTGTTCCAGGTCTGGGAGCGTCTTCTATCGCTCTTATCTTCTGCGGTTGTGGCTGCAAACGCTCATCACCAACGACATGTCCTAAACAGTCCAGTGATCGGAATCCCATGAAGCACTTCGAAGGTCGCGCAGTCAAACCCGCCTTTCGCAATCTCTCAAAAAGTTCCTTCAGGACAATCAAATGCTCTTCAAATGTCCGGGTGTATATCAGGATATCGTCCACAAAACTGTCGGTGTTCTGTAATCCTTTCAAAACCTTCCTCATGAGCCTACAAAATGAAGCCGGAGCATTTACCAATCCAAATGGCATAACCCGAAATTGGAAAAGTCCTACAGGTGTAATAAAGGCCGTCTTCTCCTTAGCTGACTCAGCCATTGGCACCTGCCAATAACCTTTTGTCAAATCCAACTTCGAAAAGTAGTGGTATCCTGCCAGTCTGGAAAACATGTCTTCCGTGCTCGGCATAGGCTCAGAATCAAACACTGTGACGCGGTTGAGCTGCCGGAAATCTATACAAAACCGGTTAGTCCCGTCCTTTTTTTTCACGATCACCACTGGAGCAGCGTAAGGGGAGGAGGATGGTTCTATTACACCAATCTCGAGCATCTTGTCGATCTCTTCCTTTATCGTCTCCTTCGTGCTGAATGGTATCGGGTATGGTCGGACTTTTACAGGATCCTTGGTAGTGGTAAGTATGTCATGTTCGACAACACTTGTGCGTCCTGGGACATCGGTAAGTATATCCTCAAAATCTTCCAATAACCGCTTCACATCAACCTCCTGGTTTGAAGGTAAATCACTGTTGATTACGACATCACCCACAGTCTCTTTCCTTTCCTGTCTCGGAAACGCTTCTACCACAGTGTGTCTCATCTCCGTTGGTGTATCGCCATCTTCTTCAACGACAACAGCTCCTATACAGGCAACTCCCTCTTGAGCATCACCACCTGGTTCCTTCTTTCTTTTGCGTCTCGCCTTCTCTGAAGTGTCCCTGTCTACATATCTCTTCAGAAGGTTGACATGTAAAGTCTTGACTTTGCCGTCTTGCATTCTCACCTGATAGTCCATACTACCTTTCTTGCCTTCCACAATGAATGGTCCCCGCCATTGCATCAGTAGCTTATTCGCCTTTGTGGGAAGTAAAACTAAGACCTTGTCACCCTTCTTCAAGTCCCGTAACTTGGCCTTCCTGTTGTAGTACTTCCGTTGTTGTACTTTCGACATCTTCAGGCTGTCACTGGCAATCCGACAAGTCTCATTCAGTCTTTCCCTGAGGTCGACGACATACTGATATGTTGTCTTAACTTCTTCGTCGTCATCCAAATCCTTTGTCCATAACTCCCTGAGGATCATCATAGGTCCTCTGATGGTCCTGCCATAGAGAAGCTCAAATGGCGAAAAACCCATACTTTCCTGAGGGACTTCGCGGTAAGCGAACAGAAGTGCATTTATATATTTATCCCAGTCTCTAGGCCTCTCCGCGCACATCCGTCGTAGCATCTGCTTGAGCGTTCCGTTAAACCTTTCCACTAGGCCATTACACATAGGATGATATGGTGTGGTTGTTAAGCGTCGAAAGGATAATAGCCTACTGACTTCCTCCATCACAGCTGACGTAAATTGGGCGCCCTGGTCCGTCAACATTTCAGATGGAATCCCGACCCTGCTGAATATATCCACAAGGGCTTCAGCCACCCTCTCTGCTTCTATCCCTGGTAATGGTACAGCTTCCGGATACCTCGTCGCGTAGTCTACGACTGTCAAGATGTATCTGTTCTTTCGTTGTGTTGGAGGGTCAAGTGGTCCCACTAGGTCCACGGCGACTCGCTTGAACGGTGTGTCAATTAGCGGCATGGAACCCAACGGTGCTTTTGGTACCCGGCCCTTTGGAAACGTCCTCTGGCAAATGTCACATGACCTGCAGAATCTTGTTACATCAGCCTGAAGTCCTGGCCAGAAAAACTCCGTCAATACTCTCTGTACCGTCCGCCTTATACCGAGATGTCCAGCTAAAATGGACTCGTGTGCCATCTTCATCACTCTAACCCTCAGCTTATCTGGAACGACAACTTGTTTGAACTCCTTACCTCCCGCAAACTTCTCACTCTTAAACCTTCTATACAAAATCCCTTTCCGCTCATAATACGACGACAAGATTCCTGGCTTCTTCTCAAAGACATCCCCCTTTTCTGCGAACGTCCTAACCTTCTCTAGTGAAGGATCGTTTTGCTGTTGTCTCTTAAGCTCTTCTACACTTACTTCGTCGTCAAGTGGAGCAGGTACCTTCATAGGTCTGTAGGTTTCCTCATTACCTCGCCTTTGTGCCCTGGTTTCAACTGCTTGCATGACATGCCTTTCCACCCTCCAGTCTGGATCTGGATCACTAGGTTCTCTAGCTCCGGAGATATTCCCTATAATAAGGTCATACAATGGCGTCTCTAGTGTCCATGCCTCGCAATGTCCCGTATAGAAAGGTGTATCCACGAAGACTTTTGCCACCGGCGCGTATATAGGAGTCTTGTCCACCAAGTAACACACCTGTGTCCTCCCTGTCATCTGGCTCGGCTCTACAAGGCTTCTCCGTACGACAATACCGTCGCTACCACTGTCTCTAAGAACTGTCACTAGCTGGTCGCCAACATAACCCCTAGTAACGGGTCGACGCCTTACCACTCCTTCACTGTCACAGGAGTCACTGAGACTCATCACAGTGCCGTCCGTCTTCTCACGAACTTTCACCTTACGTGTGCCAGATCCCTTGCCTCTTGGGGATGATCGTGTGTGCCTCTGAGCAGATAAATTGTGCTTATCCTGAGCACTGACAGCTGCTATCTGCTTGTTTCCCGTCTTCTTATTCTTACAGTCGTAAGACATATGGCCTTGTTTCCCACAGGCGTAGCAAGTCTTGTTGCTGTTCCCAGCTTTATCAGATTTGGCTGTGTTGTTCTGACTAGAAGCATGAAGTCTGTCCCCTCTATTACTTCCAGTCTTCCCAGTCATCAAACCTGATGTAGTGTTCCTGGCTTCAGCGAACTGGTCTGCTAACTTCGACATCTCATTAAGACTACGTGGTACTCTCTCCTTGAGAAATAATGACAATTCCTTACCACAACAATGTAAGAATTGATCCCTGATCATGAGGTCCTTTAATGAAGCGAAGTCCCTTGTGGTCTCAGCCATCTCAATCCACCGTTGGAAATAGCTGTCTAGTCTGATGGCAAACTGTGAAAACGTCTCACCTGCTTCTGGTCTAGCAGATCTAAACTTCTTACGAAAACCTTCCTCGGTAAGCTCAAACCTTTTCAAGAGTGCTGTCTTCAACATATCATAGTCCAAAGCACGTTCCACAGGAAGTCTGCAAAACACATCAAGTGCACGACCCTTGAGCAAAGCACTTAAATTGGCTCCCCAATTTGCCTTTTCCCACTTCTGGGCTACGGCATAGCGCTCAAATCTGCTGATGTATGCATCCATATTATCCTTCCCCTCCTCAAATGGGGGTAACTTTGGACCCTTCGTAGTAGAAGTCGACGTTGCCTGATACGAACCAAGGGGTTTCTTGTCTTCAACTTCTGCTAACTCTAACTTCCTTAAATGCTCCTTCAGGGCAGCCTGTTGCTCCATCTCCAGCCTCTCTTTAAGCAAAGAATCCTCTCGTTCAGCAGTCGCTCGCTTTTCCTTCTCAATGGCTAATTCTCTTTGCAGCTTGAGTTCCTCCATCTCCAGCCTCTCTTTAAGCAAAGAATCCTCTCGTTCAGCAGTCGCTCGCTTTTCCTTCTCAATGGCTAATTCTCTTTGCAGCTTGAGTTCCTCCATCTGTTTCTCGTGTTCTCTCTGTGCCTCAGCTTCCGCCTGTTGTTGTGCCCTCATTTCCGCTCTATCTTGCCGTTGCAACGCCTGCTGTTTGCTTACAAATTCTAGTAAAGCACCACCCTCTAACTTCAACTCTTTACCATGAGCGATCAGTTCCTGCGTAGTTGCCATTCCTTCAGCCATTACTAGCTACAGTACAGAATACCTAACACTAAGTTCACATAGAAGAAATTACAAAAAAAAACAAAGCAAGAAAATATGCATGCTCACTTACCTTTACCATGAAGAACGGCTTCTTTTCCTTCAACTATACGTACCGCTTCGTTGAAGAGGTTAATGTCTTCTCGTAGAGAGTAAAGTAAGGACAGCGTAGAGGAAAAGAATTCGGGTTTACTAACCTAACACCTACTCTAAACTTCAATTTCTGTATGGTGCGATCGTGAACCTGATCGTATTAAGTAACATCAACGATACATCCCACCGCTGCCACCAAAAATTGTAGTGTGGGAGAGCGATGACGCTACTTATACAAACAAGGGAGACAATCACGTACAATATGTATAATTTATTTACACCTACACATTACACATTTATATACATAATGTATCATTCTTCACATCCACTAACACACACACATCTAAATGATGACTTCCACACAGATGAATATTTACAATGCAAATATCAATGTCACTATGAAAACCACGGCCGTCCGAAGAATCAATGTGGTGCGGTCAAGTCCTTAAGTCCTCCTAGTCGTGGAGTATGTCTTCCCGTTACTGAGCTCATATAGTATACATGTATCATGAAAAGCACCTCACTATGACGTATCTCCGCACAATGACGTCACGGAAACCTGGTTGTACCCGCGGTCCATATTACCAGCGATGGCAAAGACAACACAAGTCGTTCTGCTCCATGACAAGTTATGATGACCACTGAAGCCGCAGCTCTTGGGTCCCTAAGTCTCCGACTCCTACTTGCTTCCGTGCACTTAGGGTAGGAAGTCTGGCGAGATGAATCCGTGGAGCCAGTATGGTCTCACAAAACCACTGCTGACTGTCTTATCCACATCATATGGCCGTTCGTGGACGAGTCAAAGGCCCATCGTTGAAACCAGACATCTGTAAAATACAGATGTCATAAAGACATAGAAATACCTAATGTTTTAAACACCTTCCAAACAACAATCACAAAATGACACACCAAACACAACTATCATTCTCTATGATAACAGACATGTATGTAATACATGTACTATTAACCGCATATGTGTAAGTATATGACATTATAACATGGTTATATAAGCGTAACAAAAGTCAAGTATGTATGCCAAAAGAAAATTAGTGTAGTTTACATGAAAGAGAACGTAATACTTTGGTTGTAATGACTTAACACTGATCAACTTCATTCTATACATATACAAGTTAAACTGACCAGTATTTCTTATACATGATAGCAAAATTAACCTTGTTATCGACTTAGGAGAAAGCTATTTACCATTCAAAAGTACAAACAAACTATGGCAATCGCATATATGAGAAGGTAGAAATAGTATTGTTCTTACGAAATAAAAAAACGTAAACATGTCACGCATGATTAGCGCGCACCTGTACCCTACTAGCCTAAACAATGCACGCACACTCTATACGATGTAATAATACTAAAACCCAGAAAAATAAGGAAAAATACAGGTATAGATTCAAAGATAAGAAAACTCAAGAAAGAGTCAATACTTACCCCGTTTCTTGGGTAGTTTCTGCGTAAACAATGTCTGGATTTCGGCCAGTAAAGATTGACACGTCTTATCGTAGTGACTGTCCGATTTCTCACCTGCGCGTGCCTAACGTCCCGGGTATTGGATACGGCCAATAAAATATCCGGAAAACATATTAAATACTTACGGACGAAATATGAATCGTGACAAAATCCCCCTTTTCCAAGAAAGTGTTTTACACTTTTCAAATCAGACGAGACATATTTCGGGCAATAGAAAAGTATTCTCCTGGCTTTTCCAAGACTCGACTGCAATAGTCGGCACCAATGTTGTCCTTTCCTTTGATTGCAGAAATTCTGAAGCGATATGGCTGAAGAAGTAATGCCCACCTCATCAAACGTCCATTTGCGATCTTAGCACGTTGGAGATAAACAAGGGGCTGGTGATGTCTCGAGTACAAACTCCTTCCCGTACAAATACTGTTCAAACTTCTGTACAGCCCACACGATGGCGAGACATTCCTTCTCAACTACCGCGTAAGCTCGTTCGCGTGCTAGCAACTTCCTGCTTGCATAGGCAATCGGCATTTTCTGGTCTTCTTCCATCTGCAGAAGAATAGCGCCTAACCCCGAATCGGACGCATCTGTCCTTAGTATGAACTGCTTGTGAAGATCTGGCAGCTTCAAAATGGGTTTCGAAGTCAAAGCCTTCTTTAGAGTCAAGAATGCCTTCTCCTGCGGATCTCCCCACTCTAACTTGTTGGGTAGTCCTTTCTTCGTCAACTCTGTCAGTGGGACGGCAATAGCAGCAAAGTTTGCGATAAACTTCCGGTAAAAGCCAACTAATCCCAAGAATGATCTCAGCTGCGTCTTTGTTCCAGGTCTGGGAGCGTCTTCTATCGCTCTTATCTTCTGCGGTTGTGGCTGCAAACGCTCATCACCAACGACATGTCCTAAACAGTCCAGTGATCGGAATCCCATGAAGCACTTCGAAGGTCGCGCAGTCAAACCCGCCTTTCGCAATCTCTCAAAAAGTTCCTTCAGGACAATCAAATGCTCTTCAAATGTCCGGGTGTATATCAGGATATCGTCCACAAAACTGTCGGTGTTCTGCAATCCTTTCAAAACCTTCCTCATGAGCCTACAAAATGAAGCCGGAGCATTTACCAATCCAAATGGCATAACCCGAAATTGGAAAAGTCCTACAGGTGTAATAAAGGCCGTCTTCTCCTTAGCTGACTCAGCCATTGGCACCTGCCAATAACCTTTTGTCAAATCCAACTTCGAAAAGTAGTGGTATCCTGCCAGTCTGGAAAACATGTCTTCCGTGCTCGGCATAGGCTCAGAATCAAACACTGTGACGCGGCTGAGCTGCCGGAAATCTATACAAAACCGGTTAGTCCCGTCCTTTTTTTTCACGATCACCACTGGAGCAGCGTAAGGGGAAGAGGATGGTTCTATTACACCAATCTCGAGCATCTTGTCGATCTCTTCCTTTATCGTCTCCTTCGTGCTGAATGGTATCGGGTATGGTCGGACTTTTACAGGATCCTTGGTAGTGGTAAGTATGTCATGTTCGACAACACTTGTGCGTCCTGGGACATCGGTAAGTATATCCTCAAAATCTTCCAATAACCGCTTCACATCAACCTCCTGGTTTGAAGGTAAATCACTGTTGATTACGACATCACCCACAGTCTCTTTCCTTTCCTGTCTCGGAAACGCTTCTACCACAGTGTGTCTCATCTCCGTTGGTGTATCGCCATCTTCTTCAACGACAACAGCTCCTATACAGGCAACTCCCTCTTGAGCATCACCACCTGGTTCCTTCTTTCTTTTGCGTCTCGCCTTCTCTGAAGTGTCCCTGTCTACATATCTCTTCAGAAGGTTGACATGTAAAGTCTTGACTTTGCCGTCTTGCATTCTCACCTGATAGTCCATACTACCTTTCTTGCCTTCCACAATGAATGGTCCCCGCCATTGCATCAGTAGCTTATTCGCCTTTGTGGGAAGTAAAACTAAGACCTTGTCACCCTTCTTCATGTCCCGCAACTTGGCCTTCCTGTTGTAGTACTTCCGTTGTTGTACTTTCGACATCTTCAGGCTGTCACTGGCAATCCGACAAGTCTCATTCAGTCTTTCCCTGAGGTCGACGACATACTGATATGTTGTCTTAACTTCTTCGTCGTCATCCAAATCCTTTGTCCATAACTCCCTGAGGATCATCATAGGTCCTCTGATGGTCCTGCCATAGAGAAGCTCAAATGGCGAAAAACCCATACTTTCCTGAGGGACTTCGCGGTAAGCGAACAGAAGTGCATTTATATATTTATCCCAGTCTCTAGGCCTCTCCGCGCACATCCGTCGTAGCATCTGCGTGAGCGTTCCGTTAAACCTTTCCACTAGGCCATTACACATAGGATGATATGGTGTGGTTGTTAAGCGTCGAAAGGATAATAGCCTACTGACTTCCTCCATCACAGCTGACGTAAATTGGGCGCCCCGGTCCGTCAACATTTCAGATGGAATCCCGACCCTGCTGAATATATCCACAAGGGCTTCAGCCACCCTCTCTGCTTCTATCCCTGGTAATGGTACAGCTTCCGGATACCTCGTCGCGTAGTCTACGACTGTCAAGATGTATCTGTTCTTTCGTTGTGTTGGAGGGTCAAGTGGTCCCACTAGGTCCACGGCGACTCGCTTGAACGGTGTGTCAATTAGCGGCATGGAACCCAACGGTGCTTTTGGTACCCGGCCCTTTGGAAACGTCCTCTGGCAAATGTCACATGACCTGCAGAATCTTGTTACATCAGCCTGAAGTCCTGGCCAGAAAAACTCCGTCAATACTCTCTGTGCCGTCCGCCTTATACCGAGATGTCCAGCTAAAATGGACTCGTGTGCCATCTTCATCACTCTAACCCTCAGCTTATCTGGAACGACAACTTGTTTGAACTCCTTACCTCCCGCAAACTTCTCACTCTTAAACCTTCTATACAAAATCCCTTTCCGCTCATAATACGACGACAAGATTCCTGGCTTCTTCTCAAAGACATCCCCCTTTTCTGCGAACGTCCTAACCTTCTCTAGTGAAGGATCGTTTTGCTGTTGTCTCTTAAGCTCTTCTACACTTACTTCGTCGTCAAGTGGAGCAGGTACCTTCATAGGTCTGTAGGTTTCCTCATTACCTCGCCTTTGTGCCCTGGTTTCAACTGCTTGCATGACATGCCTTTCCACCCTCCAGTCTGGATCTGGATCACTAGGTTCTCTAGCTCCGGAGATATTCCCTATAATAAGGTCATACAATGGCGTCTCTAGTGTCCATGCCTCGCAATGTCCCGTATAGAAAGGTGTATCCACGAAGACTTTTGCCACCGGCGCGTATATAGGAGTCTTGTCCACCAAGTAACACACCTGTGTCCTCCCTGTCATCTGGCTCGGCTCTACAAGGCTTCTCCGTACGACAATACCTT